CTGTAGACAGGAATATCACTTGATCCTACTGGTTTTGATCCTTCATTAAAGTAATCTATCTGCCTCTTTGCTTTCCAGATAGGGATTCATAAGTCACTCTCCCTCAAGTCTGGTCCAGAACAAAAAAGAGCAGGAGAATCCACAAGACTCACCTATTCTGGAAAAGTATTTGACATAAATAACTATGGCCTGCTTTGGATCAGGCAATTTCCAGGGAAGGGTCCGGAATGGTTTGCTCACTATTCAACAGAAACAATCAACCACTATTCTCCACCTATCAGAGGGAGATTCTCTGCCTTCAAAAGCAACTCTCAATTCTATCTGCAAATGAATGATCTAAGGACAGAAGACACCGGATGTCGATTATTTCACTGGAGATACACAACGCTGAAAATCTTACCTTAACTCATGCAAAAACTCTTTCCTCCACTAAATCTTAGAAGGATGTTCCTGGAGGTGGAGCTGTTGTTCCATCCTGCTTTTATTCAGGAATAAAATGTTTAGAATCCAAAAACAGAAGAAACCACAAAGGAAGAACAAAAATAGAGAAGGAAACATTCACTTACCATCTGGAGCAGCTGTCTAGCAGGAGTGTCCTCAGAGCTTAAAGACATTGATTGATTGTTTATTCATTCCACATATTTTAAATTTAAGATGTCTTGACTTCAATTCCCCAAATTCTCCAGCCAGCATGTATTCTCCTGAGAATCCCCTTAGTTGTGGGGATTGGGAGGTTATTAAGCTTATGAGTTCTATGTATGTGTTATTGATGAATTTACTCCTGATTGCCATTCTTTGCTGTTTGTTTTGTATATTTTATGGGTTTATTAGTATTATTATTATTTTACAAAAAATTGCATTGTACTGATATTTTTCATAAAGTCACCCAAAGTCATTTCTTGAGATAGCTACTCTTGTAAGAGGTCTTTCCCTTTATTTTTTTTTGTACTTTGTATTTTGATAAACTAATAAAAAAATAAAAGTGGAAGATGTTCTTTAGACCTCTCTATTCTATTCTAAAGAGGTCCAAAGGATATCCTCTACTTTTATTTTTTTATTAGCTTATCAAAATATAAAGTACAAAAAAAATAAAGGGAAAGTAAGGATAAAAAAAAGAAATAGGGAAAAAAGTGTACAGTAAAGGGGAAAAAATTCACTTCCAACTCTTTTTTTAGTGCAGTAGAATAAGGTAATAACATATAGTCCCAATACCTCCACCTGGCCCACTAGGATAAGAAGTCAGGCTATGTCATTGGTCCCATCTCTCAGGAATGTACATCTAGGCTGATACAAAAGTGTTCATCTCTTCTTCCCTTCCCTTCCCTTCCCTTCCCTCCCCTTCCCTTTTTTTCTCTTCTCTTCTCTAACCTAACCTCGCCTCATCTCACCTACCTTCCATTTTGATTTCTCCCCACTTCATGCTTGATGCTGCTGTTTGACTGGCAGCTACTGTTGATGATTGGGGATATAAAGGCAAGCAGGATCAAGTGATATCCCTGTCCATAGGAAGTCATAAAATTAATCTTCCCCCAATTAACCTTTTTGTTAAATGAGCATCATTTAAAAAACAGAAGACAGATGATTTTATAAGGCAATATTGTGATGGGAAGGGAAGGGAATAGTTTATAGTGACAGCATCAGTAGCCATTCTCAGTGTTTCCATTCATGGTCTTCAAGTCTCCCCACACCTGAACTTTCAGTCACTTCCATTTTTTGGTCCTGAAGAGAGGCAATGTTGTATATACCTCAATGGATCTGTGTTATTTCATAAAATGGTTTGTACCCATTTGTGCTCAGTTTATAAGGCAAGAACACCTTCATATAACTGAAGTTTCTAAGACCAGTTTTCTAAATAGATATATTTATACTGACCATTTTGGGAAAAATAAATTTATTAATCTACCAATATTCCTCAAGCCAGGAAGATAAGGCTTTTCTAAAACTTGGATGGAAGAATATAGAATTCTCAGGACTCTAGTCTAGATTGGAAATCAAAACCAATTCAGGAAGACCATCTCATCAAACATCTTCTGTATCAATTCAAAGAAAATAACTTGGTCTTCTCTATGAATTCATTCTGAACTGAATTCAGCTAGAAGGGATTTCACCTGATCCACAGCTACACAAGTTTCCCATAAAAGCGAATATCAATGTATAGTAGAGGGAGTGTGGATATGCACTATTCCTGATATGAGCTCAAGGTTTGCTGTTACACAATAGTTGAAGGTGAGGATGTGACTTGGTTATATTTCTACCATCTGTGATTTCATGCAAATATTCCTGATATGGCTTTTTCTTAAAGGCGGTAATTGAGAATATAGTTCAGATCAGTTTCAGGTGGAGAGAGTAAATTCCATTCCTCCATCATGGAGCTACATACCTTTATTTCTTTCTTAATGATCTTTCCTGCATGTAAGGGAAAAAAAAAACCCAACATTTTTTAAGATAGCAAGTGGTCTTTTTTCTATATTTCCTGATATCCATTTTTTTTGTTCTTTCTATATTCTTGAATACAGGTATCTCATCACAGATTACACTTACTGAGTCTGGTGATGGCCTTAAGAAGCCAGGAGATACTCTACGGCTGACTTGTACAGTCTCTGGATTTGCCATCACAAGCTATGGAGTGTCCTGGATCCGTCAACCCCCTGGAAAGGCATTGGAATGGAATGGTGTTATCTGGGATGATGGAAGCACTGACTATAACAGTGCTCTCAAGAATCGGATCACCATCACAAGGGATACATCCAAAAACCAGGTGTTCCTTCAACTGACTGGTTTAAAGCCTGAGGATACTGGCACTTATTACTGTGCAGGATACACAGTGAAAAAAATGCTTTGCTCAAGCAATCTAAAACTTCTCTTCCTCAAAATGAACCCTTAGTCATTTGTTGTTTTTAAATGGCAGCTGGCAACTAGATTGCTTTCCATGCTCTGCCAGCTATGTGTGAAAGTTTAAAAGGGGAAATTTGGAGCATGATTTTACTATGGGAGCAAATGGGGCAGGCAGATGTTCTTGGAATAAAGTGGTCCCTCAAGTTGCCCCTTTCTATGACATGTAGGCTTGAAAGGTGATAACCAGCACCTTGAATCATAACAGGAGCCTATTGGAAGCCAATGCAACTCACAAACTAGCAGTGTTAAGTGGGCCTAAAGAGATGCACACATAACTCTGGTTCCCAGATGGTCTTCAAGGGCAGCTCCATGTAGAATGCATTGAACTACTCCAAATGAGAGGTCAGTAATCAGCATGCTGTTCCAGTCCTGGAATTGGCAAAACTTCTGCCCAATATGCAAAGGCCTTACTAGTGCCTATGGAACAGTACTATCGCTTCCAGTGACCTTGATGCTGTCCCTCTATTTTTTTTATAACATTTTAATAGTTTTCTACATTTACAATGCATAAGTACTTAGTAAACAGTGTGTTGTCTGGATCTATTTGTTTTACTTAATAATACACATTAAATTCCTAATCTCTAACCTATTTTTACAGCCATTGATAAAATACATCCCATATTTGAAAATAAACCTAGCCGACAACTTTGTCATCCAAAGATGCTGTCCCTCTATTGATGCAGCCTAGGACAACATTGGCTTTTTTGACAGCTGTAGTACGCTACTGGCTCATCCTTAAGCAGTGATCCACCAGGACATCTTCTCACAGACACTACTGTTGAGCTAGGTGCTTCCTATCCTGTACCTCTACATTTGGTTTTTCTGCTTCAGCGCAGGGCCTTACTTTTCTCACCAATGAACTGCTTCTTTGGAGCACAGAGGACCCAATGATCAAGTCAGTAAAATCCTTCTGAATCTTGAGTCTATTTTCCAAAATGTAAGGATGCCCCCCACTCCAGTTGGTATCATCCTTCATTATGATGATGATGATGATGATGATGATGATGATGATGATGACGATGATGATGATAATGATGATGAATTGGGAGGAGGAGGAGAAGGAGGAAGTATCTTAAGAGGTTTGTCCAACAGTTACTCCAACAACATTTTATGGGATGAAATCATCAAAAGCCCCATTTATCTTTATCATGTCTATAATTTTACCTCTTCATTTAATGACTACCATTTATCTTTTTACATATCAACTCCTAAGATAGTTTACTAAAGTAATATTGCAGAAATTTCCTCTTTGTTTCTCAATTCCATGTCTAATCTTACAATCAAAGAATTTTAGAAGACTTGTTATGAAAAGAATGATTAAAAATAGCATTATTTAATTGAAAATAGCCCTGTAAAAGCATATGATGTTGCAGTTTGAACTAAGGTCAGATATATTTCAACAGCATACAGGTTACATGAAAATCACAAATTTAATCTTCATCTTTTATTGACATGCATTTACTGTAATTCTGTGGGGAGGGTTGGGATGAACAAGTAAATTGGAAAATAAATTGAAACTGGATGGAATGATTTGATCAGCAGATACATAAAGTCCACTGTATCTGTCCCATAGTAGATATTCATTGTGTATTATTTTTGCATCTGCTTTCTTCTCATGAGCTGCTCCTTGTTGTTCAGTTCAGGCCTCAGCACCATTATGAAACATTTGGGGAAAAATATGCATCCCAAAAGCCCAGCACTGGAAGCCAAAATGGAAAAGATCTCCACAGCTACCATATATTTTCCTTTGGTGCTCAGGTAAGTTGGAACAAATGACAACCAAACACTGGTGAATACCAGCATGCTGAAGGTGATGAATTTGGCTTCGTTGAAACTATCTGGCAACTTCCTAGCTAGAAAAGCAACACTGAAGCTGATTATGGACAGAATTCCCAAGTAGCCTAAGACAAGATAGAACATAACAACAGAACCTTCCTTGCACTCTGCTACCATCTCAGTAGTCAGTGAGTCCATGTCCAAATTGGGGAATGGAGGAGAGATTGTTAGCCATACAGCACAAATGCCTACTGGGATGGAAGAGCTGGAAAGGACAATAAAACCAGTGAGCCTCTTTCCCACCCACCTCCTCATATTGGATCCTGGCTTGGTGGCCATGAAAGCTACCACCACAGTAATAGTTTTGGCTAACACACAGGAAACAGCCAGTGAGAAGATGATGCCAAAGGCTGGTTGCCGAAGGAAGCAGGTCATTACCCCGGGCCTACCAAGAAATAGGAAAGGTGAGAGGAAGCAGAGCAAAAGAGAGATGAGAAGAGCATAGGTGAGGTCCCGGTTGTTGGCTTTGACTATGGGACTATCTTTGTGCAGGTGGAATATTTTTAATACTGAAATTGTGACTGAGAAGAAGAAGATGGCACTTGTGGCTAAGGAGATGCCCAGAGGTTCTTCATAAGACAAAAAAACGATCATTTTGGGAAAACATTCATCTTGTTTCTGGTTTGGATACTGATCAGATGGACATGTGAAGCAATCTTCTGTATCTGGATGCAGGAAAACAGATTAAGGCAGTGTTAAATCTATGTGAAATCACTCAGTTCTCATGTCAGTCTTTTTAAAAAAAGAGGCCCATCACTCTTGATTCCACAAGAGAAACAAATTTTGTGAAGAAACACCCATTATTGTCCGATTGTCCTTCTAACCACTATCCTAGAAAGATCAATATATTTATTATTTGGATTATTCATCCTAGTTTAATATTATAATGTGTTCTAGAGTTTTTAAATCACAAAACCTACACAAATGTTCTTCTCCAGTGCTATCTCAAAGCTCTGAAGATTAATTTAATACTGTTTTAAAATTAAAAGAGCACTTTCACACTTTCTAAAGCATCAGAAGTTTAAAGGAACATTTAGGCATTTCGAAGTTCAACCTTTTGCCTTCCTGTCTTCAGCTCAGTTCTGCTTCATGTATATTTTTACATTGTTTCCTTTGAACACACACAGCATCAAGGAATAATGGATGGGGAAAAAAGTAAGAGCCACTGTGTATAGCTTCAGGTTTGAATGGAAGAAAGATCCTTTCAGTTAACCACTTCTGTAACTCTCTAAATCATCTGTGCCTTCTCCTGGTGATATGATGGTTGATAGATAAAGGTAAACATTTCCCCTGTCCAGTCATGTCTGACTCTAGGTGGTGGTGCTCATCTCCATTTCTTGGTTGAAGGAACCAGCATTGTTTGAAGACATTTCTGGGGTCATGTGGTAAGCATGACTATACACCGAGGCCCACAGAATGCTTTTACCTTCCCACCAAAGTGGTACCTATTTATCTACTCACATTTGCATGCTTTTGATCTGCTGGGTGGGCAGGAGCTAGGGAAGGTAACAGGAGATCATCCCATTGCATGGTGCTCAGGTTTCTAACCCAGGCTATCACCTTTTTCAGCTAACAAGCTCAGTGTCTTTAACCACTGAGCCATCATGCCCCCATTGACAGATATTGCCAAGAAAAGATGTGTTTGAATTTTTAAAAAATAGCACATGGGTACTATGTTCATGCACCCATGTATTTTGAAGGACCTTTCTTTCTTAAAATATGAAGTCCTGCAAAGTCATAAGGATAATATATTAAGCAAGGATATATTGCTTATATAACTTATGTGGCCCAAGCTCTATTGGCACAACACTTCTCAACAATTGCCATATGGACTATCCCTCCAATTCTCATTAAGCATGCAGGAGAAAAGAGATAAAAAGAAGAAGAAGGGGCAGAGATGCTATCAAACATGGCCATTTTGATGTTCTCCAACCCTCTTTACATCCATTATGTTGGAAGTTTTGCTGTACTGTGTCATTTACCTCTTTCATTGGAAATCTTCCCTTCTGGACACCGAACACATCCATAGCAGCAAAATTTCTCTCCTTCTTTTTTTCTCTTTTGAGAACCAGGCTGGCAATAAGGATTACACAAGGAAAGAGGATGGACCTTTTTTTAAAAAAAAATAATTGAAAGGTTAGGTAGAGGTTATCTGGCATGACATAACAAATGAACCATCAGTTTACATATGTTTGGAAGGTAAATAGGTAGGTAGTTGGTAGGTAGGTAGGTAGGTAGGTAGGTAGGTAGGTAGGTCACTACAATTAATGCCTCCTGGACAATGCTGAATTTATCATATAAAGTATACTTCATCTTAACCTAAACTCTTGATATAGAATTAACTATGAACAATCTTCTTCTCCTTCTCCTTCTTCTTCCTCCTCCTCCTCTTTCTTTTTCAACAATCATTTCTCTGAAATGGTATAGGGTTTCCTGCTTAAGCAGGGGGTTGGACTAGAAGTCCTCCAAGGTCCCTTCCAACTCTGTTATTCTATTTTTCTTTTTCTTCCTCCTTCTCCCAAGGACTTACTAAGGATCTCTTTACCTCTGTGAATGTGGAGTCTATTTATAGCTCTTAAATGAATTTTAAGCAGCAGATCTGCAAGGTCCTTTGGAGAAAGAAACCCCAAAGCTGGAGGACAGCTGAATGACAGAGGGAGGAGAAAGAACCAGAAAACGCCAGCCATTTAGAATTGTTTCCCAAATTTATCCCTACTGTCAGTATAAACTGAATTCGCCTCCGAAAAATGTTGGTTTTACTTAGGGAGAAGTAGACAAGGAACTAATGCTACTCCCTTGTCAAAACATTTCTGGAAACAAAGAGTTCATATGTTGTGGAAAAAGTAGGGAAAATCCTTGTAAACTTTTTTTTCAGAAAACAAAGAGGAAATAGGGGATTAAAATTCCCAAAACAGGGATAGATTTGTCCATTTATATTTTCTACCAACAATAGAGAAGCCATAATTCACTCTCACTCCCTCTCCCTCCCCCCCCTCTCTCTTTTGCTTATCCTACCCTGAAAAATTTTTCTTTTCTTTTCATGACCCTATAATCCCTTCCATAGGTGTATAGTTGGGGCAACTGAATGGAGCTGAGCAGTTACTGGCCAGATGCCCTTCCTGATCCCTATGTGGAGTTCACAGTAGATATTTTCTCTTTGCACCCAGAGAGAGAAATACCTGCCACTACTTAGGATCACAGCCTCCTGATTGTGAGGTGAAAGCTCCACCTCTAGGCCACCACATATTCCTTCTACCCTAAAATAATAATACTGGGGGCAGGGAATGAGCATCTCTCTGAAAATATTTTCCTTTCCATTGTAAGTATTCCGTTTCTCCTAGTAGTGGTATTTAGGAGTGTCCCTTAAAGATTTTACTGTTCTGTATGGGGTGTTAGAGTAATTGAGTTTGTTTGTTTGTTTGTTTGTTTGTTTTTATTGTAATGGAAATATAGAGAATTCCAATAATTAAAATTAGGCTTTTCTAAAGATTTATGAATACTCACTTTGCTAACGCTTCCATGCCATTTAATCTTGTCAGTCTCAATGATGATTTTTTTCCCTTGAGAATCCTTGGTCCCCATCCTTCCAACCTTCACTTTATGAAAAGAGTTATTAGAGAAAATAAGCATGTTTACTATATCAAATCCATATCCCATCTCCTTA